TCCTACCAATGTAAAATTTAAGTCGATGAAGTCTTGAAGGACGAAACGCATCACGAATAAACTTTTTCCACTTTGTTATACAATTTCCCCAATACTGTTTTTGATATATAAAAATATATATTTTTATATCAATCATATATATATATATATATATATATATATATATAGCATTCATATCACTGTTAAAAACAAGCCTGTCAATTTAAAAATTTTAATAACCTTTAATTATGTTCAAACTCTACTAATGTATTGAGCCTCAATTTTTAAATTAATGTTGTGAACATCTAAATTGATATTCAATTCATTCTCTTTACACACACACACACACACACACACATATATATATATATATATATATATATATATACAACATCTGGCATGAGCTGATCTATCATATTTTATTTGGTATATTAAACAATTTCTAATATTCTAATATTCATCACCGCTTACAATTATTCAAATTTGTTTCTTTAAAATTTAACTGAGAAAGAAAAATTTTTCTTATATGCAGTGAAGTAATTCTATAAAAGTTGTTTAAAAATGTGAATCCAATAAAATCTGATCACTAGCAATAATAATATTTGTTTCTTCTTCTTCTATGTGCTAAGTCCCTTCAGGGTGCAGGCAATCATGACTTTTTTCAACTTCATATATTTCATAAATCTAAGCAATGTTTGTCCCCTACAAATTCTGCAATCCACTTACACAAGCTCCTTTAATAAGCTATTAACTATTTTCCTCTACACACTTACCATCTATAAGTCCTGTAAGTGTCAAACTCTCCAATCCCTCTTTTCTCATTACATGCACTAGAAATTCCAATTGCCTTTTTCTGAAGCTATGCACAAGTATTCCTTTAATTTTAATTTCTCCCTAAAACTTCCTTGTTTGTTGCATCAAAACATTGTTGTAGCTTACCTTCAATATGTCCTGTATGTGTCAAACTCTTCAAGCCCTCTTTTCTCATTACATGCACTAGAAATTCCAATTGCCTTTTTCTGAAGCTATGCACAAGTGTTCCTTTCATTTTAATTTCTCCCTAAAACTTCCTTGTTTGTTGCATCAAAACATCCTTGTAGCTTGTGGGATCACAGGCGTGAAAAACATGACCACACTATAATTTATTTTTTTTAGAGGATTGTGTTTGGCAGCCATGTCTCTCTGCAACCAATTCCAATATGTTGGTGACTGTCAGTGTGTTAGAGTGCTTGTAATATTTTATTTTCATCAGGGGACAATAAAAGCAGCCAATGCCAAACATGTGCCCTGTGCTATTTAGCTCTGAGAAAAATTGTTTTACCTAATGAAAAGACATTTAAACTTTTTATTTTATTTTCAATAATAAGCAGTGGCTATCCAGCTTTGTGACACTGGTATCAAGAAGGCTGTGGAAACTAATATAGGGACACAACTGACTTGGCACATATGGAACGACAGTGGTGGCTAAACAGGTTTTTGCATCACATACCTAGATATAAATGATGTTGTGACAATACAACATTAAGAGCATTGTTCAACCCGTTCTGTTGCCATTCCTGCAAGAAGAGCAAGATGGCATGAAATTCCATCAGGATATTGCCTGCCTACATAATTCCTGTAGTACTTAAGAAATTTTGGAAATCTCTACCATCAACCATGGAATGCTTGAGGAATTTCATTGAAATCAAGATTAATCTATACTGAACTGTTCTTTTATTCTCCATTGCTTCTCCAAATTCTTGACCCCTACCAGAACCACATTCATCATCTTTATGTCTTTGATTAAAAATTCCTGCTTCCAATTTGTGGAAGACAAAATATCTAATAATTATCTGTTTCCAAAGTACCAAATAGAAGGCATAGAGACGTTTCTAATGCAACAGCAATTTCGATAGGTTGATCATATTGTGCACACAAATACCAGGAAAAAACAATCTATCGCTTGCTATTGAGAATGTTTAATGGAACGGTTCGGGAACAAGTGGCACCGAGTCCAAAATGATGGTTAACAACCTCATTCATTGAAAAGTTTGTCAAAAAAAAATGGTGTGAGGAAAACAGACAACAACACTTGAATAAAAGTTTATGAAAATCAGAAAGACAAACTTTATTTTACAATAAAAATCCCGTAAGAGAATAATACATGAAAAAAGAGGGTTGCACAAATAATGGCTTTTATAATGCTATGGGAAATTTCCAAGCCATTTAACACGAAATATTCAAAATAAAAAGGCGATCTTTGTACTTACAAACATTTACAATACAAACAGCAGAAAAGAAAAGGAAAACTCAGATTATTTTCATATCAACTAATTTTAGTTAATAACAGCTTCAAACGACTTCTAGGGATCTTAAAAATCGGGTTATAGAATTTGATTTAACCCTTTAAGAAATGATATGCTTACAACAAATGCATTCTCTTGTTGAATGGGACACAATTTCACCTTTTTGTTACAATCAGTTGTCATGACAATGTTCAGCTTTTCCCTGTTTGACGTTTCAGTGAGTTGAAGGAGGAAGGGGTAATGATGTCGCTGCCATTCTACCTCTTAGGCAAGCTTCCTCCCGAAAACGGCCAAACTCTCTACCGATTTCTGTCAGACTTCTATCTCGCTCTCTTTGTTTCTTTATCTCTCTACCTCTCTCCTAAAAACATGCTTTTTATGTATGTCGAAACACATGGCTAAGCCCAGACAAGTCACGAGAGAACCATATATGAGCAAAGTAAACAAATAAGTCACCCCACTTTTTATTTTCCACGGAATCAACCTTTTTAAAAAAATAAACAGACGATAACTAAAAAAAAACTTATGCCAAATTTGACATTTGTAGATTATTTTTATTTTTAAAATAAAATACAATTATAAAATAAATGCACATACATAAAATGACAAAAAATTAATTTTATTACTTTAATCTTAATTTTCAACATGTGTGATGAAATGCCACTGAAAATTTTCATGTACAGCTAACTGCATGAAAGCTCTTGGAAGGTGAGAAGACCCTTGTTAAAGTTATAGTATTAGGTAATGTTTAGTAAATAAAATAAAAATATTTCTTAAATCTTCTGAAAAGTATCATCTACTTAACCTTCCATTAACATTAATGCCAGCATTCTTAAGAAATCAGTTACATTGATTTCTGAAGCTAGATACTTAGGTAATCGAAGAGAAAATATAAAAGACCCTGTACCAAAGCAAATGACAATCCTGTAGCACTCATTGCACGACCTAATCATTTACCGACCTCAATATCAACACAGGAAAAAGAGGGCTTCGATGTCACTTCTCTCTGCCCTTTCACCAAACAGCTGGACTCACATGATCATGCCATTCTAACCATCTCTCTCTCTCTCTCTCTCTCTCTCTCTCTCTATATATATATATATATATATATATATATATATATATATATATATGCGGGGTGTTACAATGTACTGCAAACGATGAACTCTATCTTACAAGAAGGATACAATTTGTATTCACGAAAAGAAAATTCAAAATCGAAAACTTCCGTCAACACGCAGTGTAGGAACACCAACCTTGAAGCATGCCGACGGCACAAGTGCGGCATTCCCAGCCCTCCATGACATGGACGTTAGGCAACAGTCTCTCTACAAACCAGATGCTTGAGAACGACCCACAAGAGGGAAGCCACTAAGTGATCGAGCGCCTTCTTTCTCTTCTTGTAGAGAGGAATTACAGCCAATCGATAAAGGATAATCGGAAATACGTAAGTGGCACACGCTTCTGCCTTACACTTCACGGACAACTGCCGTCGAAGCCAATTCAAACCGCTGCTTCAACCTTTGACTGTACTGCGGACCAATTCTTCTTCAGCTGGAGGAGACTGGGCCCGGCCCACACTCCAAGAATGTGGACGTGTCCATCTGTTCAACTAAAGGGCCCCAGAAGCGTGACCCCCTTCCAGGCACCTAATCGTAAGCCGGATGACTTGTCTCGATTCATTTTGACCCCCGTCACCTTCTCGTACCGTTCAAGCGCCTTTTGTACTACCTCAATATAGCTACGGCACGACATGAAATTGATACATTATCGGCATACGCGGCAAACCTGGATCGACCTCCAGAGACGGCGAATCTGTGTAGGTCCAGACTGGGTGCCCTGTCCCTTACCCAGGGAAAGAGGGGTTCCAACGCCAAAGCGTAGAGTAAGGGCGACAGCAGACAACCCTTACGAACTCTGTTTTTCTTTCCCGCCCTCTTTCTTTATCTCTCTTGTTTTATCTCTCCCCACACTCTTTCCCCTCTCTCTTTCTCCTTCTCTCTCTCTCGTTTTCTGTTTCTCACTCCCTCTCGCTTTCGTTTTCTCTGTTTCTCTCTCTCTCTCTCTGACACCCAGACACATGCACACAAACAAACGACAAAAAAGAATAAAAATCGTAAAAGCAATCAACGTTTCTAGAAATGTTTTGTCGTCTGTATCATACTTGTCTATTCCACATTTCTTTTTCCGTTTGATCTTTCTAGTTTACTGTCTGACTCTTTATTACTCTATCTCTCTATTCCCACTCTCTCCTGTTTTTTAGCTTCCTCTTTTCATCTCTATATTTTCCCATTTCCCCTTTCTCTTTTATCTCTCTCTCATTCTATGTCTTCTCCACCTCTCTCTCGTTTACTCTCTAACACTTTATTACACCGTGTCCCACTTCCCACCTCTCTCCAGTTTGTAGCTTTCTCCTTTCATTTCTAAGTTTCTCGATTCCCCCCTCTCTTTCTTTCGGTTCTAAGTTTCTCGATTCCCCCCTCTCTTTCCCTTTTTCTGTCTCTCTATCACTCTGTGTCTGTTCCACCTCTCACATTCCGTTTGTCTTTTTTTCGTCTACTCTCTGACTATCACTTTTATTACACCGTGTCCCACTCCCGCCTTTCTCTCCTGTTTGCAGATTTAACTTATCTCTACGTTTCACTATTCCCCCCTCTATCTCTCCGTTTGTTATACTCTGTCTTTCTTTTTGTGTCTCTCTTTCGCACTATGTGCACACTCCCTTTCACTTTCCGACTATCTTTTTTTGTTTGTTTGTCTCACACTCTCTTTCTGTCTCTCTATCACACTGTGTCTATTCCCCCTCTTTTTTTTCCATTTGTTTCGCTCCCGTTTACTCTCTGTCTCAGAAAGCGACAAACAGGAGGAGAAAGGGGTAGAGATATTCAGAAAGTGAAAGGGGGTATACACACAATGCGAAAGAGAGACAGACAAGAAGAAAGACAGAGTGAGATAAATGGAAAGAGAGAGGGGATAGGGAGACAGATGAAAATAGAAAATGACAAACAGAAAGAGAGAGTGGTAACAAAGAGAGTAATAAAGAGTCAGGCTGTGTAAACGAGAAAGAGATAAAAGGAAAGAGAGAACGCGATAGAGATACAGACAAAGAGAAAGAAAGAGTGAAATAAATAAAAATAGAGTGAGAGAGGGGGAATAGAGAGATGAAAAGAGAAAGCGACATACAGAATGAGAGGGTGGGAATCGATGTTGACAGTGTAATAAAGCGTCAGAGAGTAAATGAGAAAGAGGTAAACGGAGAGAAGAGAGAAGTGATAGATGAAATATTGAAAATATTCTATGTAATATACAGACGACTCTCCTCATCTTTATGTTTTTGATTATGTTTTAATCTTTGAACTCACCGGACATTCTAATATCAGGATTTCTAAAATGAATATTGTCATTATATGTATATTTTATTTTGTGGCCATTATGTTTCTGCGGAATGATAGCTGAGTGTTTTCAAAAGAGAAAGAAACATCAAGAAATACCTGCCTAATCATCTTGTCAGGATTAGGGCGAGGAAAAAATGATCCAGTAAATAAGCCAGAAATATAGTTTAGAGATTAAAGTGATAAGATATTATGAACAACCAGTAATTAAAACAAAAAGATAGATTAGGGATAAAAGTGAGAGGATATTATGGTGAACCAGTTAAAAAGCCAGAAAGATAGTTTAAGGATAAAAGTGATAGGATATTGTGACGGATTATTAAAAAAGCCAAAAAGATAGTTTAGGGGTAAAAGTCATAGGTTGTTATGAAGGACTAGTAAATAAGCCAGAAAGATTGTTCAGTCTTAAAGGTCATAGTATACCGTGGAAAACTAATAAATAAGCCGGAAAAATAGTTTAGGGATGAAGCTGATAGGATATTATGGTGGACCAGTAAATAAGCCAGAATGATAGTTTAGGGATAAAGGTGATATATTACAGAGGACCTTTAAATATGCCATTAAAATAGATCTATAAAAGTGAAAGGATATTGTGAAAAACATTAAATAAGCCGGAAAAATAATTTACGAGCCTCGATATGACTCAATGACGCATGCGCCTCGTTATCCCACCTCTTGCTCGGACGGTTTGTCTCGCTAGCAATTGGCTCGTCCTATATGCACAATTAGCCTACGTTTCTCTAGTGCTCTTGGACCTCCGCGGTAATTCTCCACACTCCCCCCTTATCTCCTGATCACAAAGTGGCAGCTTGGTGGTGATTGTCTTCACCGGGTGCTTCTTTGCAATGGCATAGAGGGTGGTTCTGCTTCCTCTTCAGGGGAACTGTCTGACTCCGAATCTCCTTTGTCATGTAGCAGACTCTCCGACTCGCTTTCTGAAGATGTTGTAGATGATGTTGTTGGAGTCTTCCTCTGACGTTATAATACTGCGACGTGGGCGCAGTATTATAACTCCTGTCTAGTGGACGTTCTGTCCACTAGACAGGAGTGTGGACTAATTATCTTAGTCACCTGACCCCTAACGAACTTTGTGGTACACCGACTCTGAGGAGTCTTGAGCCACACGCGAACTCCGACCTGGAATGGCCACAGCGCCTCGTGGATGTGTACTTGGAGGTACGCTCTCCTGAGGTCCAACAAAGTCACGTTCGAGCCTTTCTGTCGCCATTCACGTAGCTTAGCTGCACAGATATCTGCGTTAGCGGTGAACGTGTCAACGTGATGGTTGAGCTCTCGGTAGTCTATCACAGGACGCATTTTTCCTTTATTTTCCTGCAGTACGGCTATCAGACGAATTAGCCCTTTGGAAGGACCCTGCCCTTTTCCGGGTATGGCACGAGCCAACCATTATCTACCCACGTGTAGCGTTACCGCTCAGTCTTCTCAGATCTTTACAGCTACCGTTTATTCAGACACTCCATTTTTCAGTCCTTCTGGTGCGCAATCCTCTGACCACTTCCATGCCGCAGTCCATGTTCGGTTCTGATGGTCGAAGGTGGCAGTGAAATCAGGTTTATTGATGGAAATGGCTGCGCACATAGTGACCTTCCCGTCACCGATCTGCTAGGACGCCTAGTAAATATAGTTTTACTTAATAATAATATCATCTAAAAGGTTGAAATTAATACAGAATTTTAAATGATTTAAAACTTAATAAATTATTCTTATTAAATTACTTTATAAAGTTTTATTTTGTAAAAATTAAATTCATTATTATTTGAAAAAAGTATTTTTAAGACAACGCTGTCCTTAACATATATTATTTATAAAATCAATTAAAAGTTTTTCTAATTAAATAATGTCTTAGTTTTATTACATTTTTCGTTTTATGATTCAGGGCAGATTATCGATAAATGATGTTTTTGTTTTACAAAAAAAAAAAAAAAAAAAAAGAAGAAGAAATGATGATTTAAATTCTCCATGGAGTCCTGCTTTTAACTAATATAATATAAAGAGGATGAGATTATTTTAATTTTTTGAAATTTCATAAAATCAAATAAGTGAGATTAATAGATGTAAAAATAATATTTTACCAAGATTTTCTAAAAAAAAAAACAAACAAACAAAAGAACTTCAAAAATAATGTAATTCATTTGTGATTAAGTCCTGAAAATTTCATTAAAATCTGACAATTATTTGATTTTTGTAAGAATTTCCAAATTAATGTTTTTTACCTGAAAAAGACACTAAATTTTCTTATACTAATCTCCATCCCCTCCCAACCACTGCTGTTGATGCAAGAAAAACAAGATTTTTAACCATAATTTCGAACATGCTAGAAAGGATTAAAAAAGTGATAAAATAAAAAAAATAATTTGGTCTTTCTTTTTAATAATAACATAAACATTTTGACGATAAAGTTTTGTGTTTATCAAATTTGGGAATTTTTTCATCATGGTATGCTCTTTTTTCAAAGTTTATTAGTGGAGGAACCTATTTTAAATGCTTAATATAAAGTTATGATTCTTAAGGCTTAATGTAGCATTCATCTGTTTTTAAATTTTAATGTAGTAGTCATCCTAAATTTTCAATGCGTTCATTAATTTTTAATATTCAATGTGGCATTCATTTGTTATTTAATGCTTCACGTCGTATCATTTAATTAATTTTTTAATTCTATTTCTTTTTAATACTGGTAAAAAAGATGTACAAGATAATTATGACAAATAAATCGTCATCGCAAATGTCACTGTAAGTACATTATCCTTGATTTACTTTTTATTTGTCATTAATGTCCTCTTATCTGTATCTTCAAACAAGGTCAACTGAAAAATGTACAGGAATCCCTCAATTAATGCGCTTTCGATTAGTGCACTAAAATTTTTATATACCAAATTTCAACTAGTACATACAGAATACTTGATTAGTGCAGTAAAACATTCTTCAGATTAACCATGCTAATTAAAAATTGACTTTTTTATAGTTACCAATTATTTAAAAATTTTCTAGAATTTAAAAATGGAAAATGAATAACTATTTTGTTTGTCAAGTATTATGTTATCTAAGTAATTACAGTGGTGTGTAAAAATGGACGATTATAAATAAATTTTATAACATAGGCCAATAATAAAAATACAAATTTGAATATTTGTCTCTATTAAAAATTTTTGAATTTTTTGATTTTTTTCATGTTTATTTTGAATGTCTTAAAAGGAAATTTCTGATGGACGAATCTGCAAGGGATAGGAAACTGTGGAAAGCCACAATTGCGTATGTCCTGAGGAGACATAAAAAAAAGAACAAAATTTTGATTTATTTTTTTTTGTCTTTGGTTGGTAACTGGTATTTCCTAATTGTTTCTGTCTAGTAAGCAAAGGAAATGGCTATTATTCTCTTTAAACTTTGCTTTTATGACTACATCAATGTTTTGAAACTAACCTATTCTCCATTATTGTAGGAGAATTTTCTACAACTTTCTAGAAGTTTCCAAGAAATTTTAAAAAGTTTCTAGTATTTCTAGAATATAGATGACAGAATAAATACAGTGAACATAAGCTCAACAGTTCAGTTTACTTGTAGCTGAGCAAATGCAGAAAAGTTTTCATTAATAGATGCATTAGTCACAGATGTCATCAAGAGGTTGTAAGCAGACACATTTTGCTATATCTGTGGCGAATTTATCAAGACAAGATCGAAAAAGTACTCTGTGGCAATATCTGCAAAAATATGTGAGGCCTAAATGGCATATTTCAGCATACCTGTTAGGGATTAAGATAAGGCCTGGGTAACTTATTTCACCTGTGAACTCTAGCAGGTAAGTTGGAAAGTTTTTTGCCTTAACCGATTGAGCCACAGATGATCGTTCAATTAGCAAGGTCAATTTTACTGCTTTTAAACTACAATCTTCCATAAATCTCTCATGTACATTCATATCTGCTCAAAGCGTATCCAAATGTAAACTAATGACGTCACACATTATGAAATGGACACGGTCCGACAATTATTTTAAGATATTTTTATATTTATACATTCTTTTTATAGATACAAATATTTAAGTAAATGCTCTGTTTATAGTAAACAGTATTAATAACATTTACTGGCCTGAATGTCCAGGAAATTTTCATAGAAAATATTCGTTCTCCGACAGGAATCGAACCTGTATCCTATACGGTACTGTCATTTAGCCTGATGTGCCTTAACCGATTGAGCCACAGATTTTCGATTTTACTGCTTTTAAGCTACAATCTTCCATGAATCTCGTACATGAGATCATCCAAACACCATGTAACTCTGAGCTGCCTGTAACGAGACCACCAAAGAAAGAGAAGCCATATTCAGAAGAGAACAGCAATTCAAAAGAGGATGAAGTCATTGATTCAGATTACAGAGGTGATTCTTAGGAGAGAAACCCGTACTACCCCAAATAAAAAGAACTCAACAGCTAGATCAGAGATCTTAACAAGTCCAATGTCAGCTTTTGACATTGAAACTCAAGCAGCAGAATTTATTAGATGAAAGCATGCAAATTGCAGATCAGATAGAATACGACCAATGTTTTTCAAGCTTTGTTGCCCATCAAGATGGTGGGAACTACATTTGGGGGCTGATTCATGAATTCTAATTTTTTTTGTGGTCTCTTGTGTAATCCTATAATAAATAAATACTACTTGGAATCATCTCATTTTGTTCCTACTTTATGTGAATGAGAATGTTTACATTCACCAATTTTCCCAATTTGAATAGTTAAATTTCAGAAATATCATGATGATGGCCACAAAAGTTTGAAGGAAATATTAGCTGTTTCTCATACTTTCTAGGTGCAAGCAAATAAGAAATAACAGTTGCAACTCATGAACAAAAAAGTATTACACAATATAATCTTTCCTTTAAAAGGAATTGAAGAAGTATCTACAGTAATTCAGATAAATTATA